ATTTGAAATATAATCTCAAGAGAATCACAAGACAAGCTACAGACTGGGAGAAAATATTTGAGAATGACACATTTGATAAACGATATATATATATATATATATATATATATATATATATATATTCTCTTAAAACTCAATAATAAGAACCTGACTAAGTAACTCAGTTGGTTAGAGCATTGTCCTGATATGCCAAGGTTGTGGGTTCGATCCCCTATGAGGGCACATACCGGAAACAATCAAAGAATGCATAAATACATAACAAATAACAAATCTACGTTTTTCTCTCTCTTTCTCTCTCCCCTTCTTCTATCCCTCTAAAATCAATAAATACAAAAATTAAAAAGATATAAACAAAACATTAAACTTAAAAACCCAATAATAATAAAACAAACAACCCAATAAAAAATGGGCCAATTACCTCAATATACACCTCACTAAAGAAAATATACAGATGGAATTAGAAAATATGAAAAGATGCTCCACATCATATGGCATAAGGGAAATGCAAATGAAAGCAATTACATGTCAATACACTGATTTGAATAAGCAAAACCTGGAACACTGACAACACCACACGCTGGTCAGGATGTGGAGCAGCAGGCACTCTCATTTATTGGTGGTGGGAATGTAAAATAATAAAGCCTATTTCAGTGATGGCGAACCTATGACACGCGTGTCAGAGGTGACACACAAACTCATTTTGGGTGACATGCATAGTCAGAGAAAAAAAATTGCATAATTCTTTGTCTCTCGCAACTTAGTTGATGGCCAGAGTTGGGCATCACTGGAGTAATAGTATTACTCACGTTACTCATGATCAATAATGCAATTCTAAAACCGGATATAAACATGTACTTCGGTGTTGCGTAGCAAAGATACATAGGGAAAACATCCAAGATACATTGTTCCAATATTGACATCAATATAAAAAGATTAAGAATTGCACTATAAAGAGATTAATCTTTACTCGTGACATTTTATTTTTACTCGAGTGACAAAATGCCCCATTCTGGAAACGGACTCGTTATTGTCAACATGTGCCTCGGGTAAGCTTCCCGTGTGTTCGGGTGCATTCGGCAAATGGACGCACTTGTTCACCATGTTCATTAGGAGACAGGAGTGGGAGGGTTAGAAGAAAAAGATATACAGTGCAACAGTGCTCGATGAGACATTCTGCATGTCAGATAATTGATTACAACACCATATATTTGTTGGTTATACATAGTCTTTGAATTCTTTTGCACCAGGAGTCAGTCCAACAATACTGCAAAAAGTTAATAGGTAAGAAACCTATCAACCTTTTGTAAAAAATGCAGTGATTTATATTTATTTATTTTTGCAGACTTGTGATGGAGAATCAAAAAAATAAAAAAGCAAGATTGAATGATAAAGGAAGTGGAAGTAGCAGTAGCTGAGCCTTTCAAGATATATGGACCCAGATGTATGGGATTGTCGACAGAAACAACAGATCATTGTGCAAACTGTGTAATGAAACGGTAGTAAGCAGAACGTGGAATATAAAGAGACATTTTGAAACTAATCATTGTCAGCTCTTGAAAAAAAGTATTGATGAAAGGAAGGAATACATTTCTAGGCAGCTACACCTCTACAAAAGTCAATCAAATTCCATCATTAAATTTGTAAGATGCTCTACAAATTTAACATCAGGAAGTTACTGTATTGCTCACTCTATAACTCAGCATGGAAAAGCCCTCAGTGATGGAGAATTTATTAAGGAAACATTTCTAAGATGTGCACCAGCTCTATTTCACAATATGAAAAATAATGATATTATTAAAAGAATTTCTGAGTTACCACTCAGTAGAAATACTATCAAAGACAGAATAATAGATCTTAACAAAAACATACAACATCAATTAAAAAAAGACTTAAATAGTTGTAAATATTTTTTGATTTCTCTTGATGAAACTACTGATGTCACATCAAATGCTCGGTTGGCCATTATTGCTAGATATTCTGATGGTCTCACACTGAGAGAAGAGTTGATAAAGTTAGAATCAGTGCCAATAAGTACATCAGGAAACAAAATATGTAAGGTTGTTATAACAACATTCAGTGACCTAAACATTGATATCTCTAAACTTGTGTCAGTCACGACAGATGGGGCACCAAATATGGTGGGAAAAAATGTGGGATTCCTGAAATTGTTTATGGAAGCTATTAGACATACACTTGTACCTTTTCATTGCATTATCCATCAGGAGGTGTTGTGTGCCAAATCGGGATTCTCAGAATGGAATGATTTAATGTCAGTTGTAACAAAAATTGTGAATTTTATAGCTTCTCGACTCCTTCACAAGCGAGAATTTTCTGCACTTTTACAGGAAGTTGATTCAATCTACAATGGCCTACTGATGTTCAATAATGTGAGATGGCTGAGTCCAGGTAAAGTACTTGAGCGATTTGTGGAGGGCTTTGAAGAAATTATGGTATTTATTGAGAATAAGGATCTGGCAAACTTTCTTCACATCAATGATCATAAGTGGGTCAGCAATTTGATGTTTTTTACAGATCTCTCTGTTCATATGAATGAACTGAACTTAAAATTACAAGGTTTTGGCAAAAGTATTGACGTTATGTTTGGATACATCAAATCTTTTGAAAGTAAACTTAAAATTTTCAAGTGAGATATTGAAACTAAAACTTATAAGTATTTTCCTCAGATAAAAAAGTATTTCGAGAAGGCCACTACAATTAGTGTAATGGAGTCCATACTTATGTACCAGAATATAGTAAACTCGTTATTTGAACAGTTCAGTGAAAGATTCAACCAATTTAGAAGCCTAGAACAGACCATTAAAATAATTAAGTATCCGGATGTAGTTGTTTACAGTACTTTGGAATTAAAGGATTTCCAATGGATGCAAATTGACGATTTAGAGATGCAACTTGCAGATTTTCAAGGTAGCATTTGGACTCATGTGTTTGTCGACTTAAGGTCGAAACTTGAAAATCTGGGACAAAATCGTTTGAATAATGAAGAAGAATGCAACTATGAACAAGAAATTTTGAGTGCTTAGAACAGAGTACCTGACACTTTTAGCGACATAAAAAATCTAGCAATGGCTTTGCTAAGAATTTTTTCATCAACATATTTTTGTGAGACTTTGTTCTCAGCATTAAATAATATTAAAACTAACAAAAGAAGCCCGCTAACAGATGAAGTTAGTGGCACTTGCTTGGCCTTGTAAGTACACCAAGTGTGAACCTGCAATCAAAGAATTAGCAAACAAACTTCAGCACCAAAAAAGTCACTAATTTCTAGTTTTTGTACCATTTGATTATCATTGTTATTATTATTATTTTTTCTTAAATGTACATTGTTTTTCTGTTTTTTTTTCATTTTATACATATTTTTGGTTGATTTTTCTTTGTTAAATGGCATTTAAATATATAAAATAAATATCCAAAATATAAATCTTTTTTTTTTACTATGGTTGCAAATATAAAAAAAATTATGAGTATTTCTATATGTGACATGGCACCAAAATTAAGTTAGGGTTTTTCAAAATTTTGACAATCTGAGCTCAAAAGATTCACCATCACTGGCATATGCTGTTCTCCAGTGTGAGTTCTCTGGTGTCTTTTGAGATTAGCATGTAGACTGAGAGGGTTCTCACACACACCACATTTATATAGTTTCTCTCCTGTGTGGATTCTCTCATGTTGTCTCAAGTAAGAACTCTGACTGAAGGCTTTCCCACACTCACTATCTTCATAAGGTTTCTCACCACTGTGCATTAGATTGTATGTCTAAGTTCAGATGTTTGCAAAAAGCCTTTCCCACATAGATGACATTCAAATTATTTCTCGCCAGTGTCATCTGAGGATGGAGGCATTACTAAAGGCTTTCTCACATTCACATAATTTTCCTCTAGTGTGAATTTCAATGTGTCTCTAAGGCATAGCTCTTCACTGGCTGATGTAAGGTTTCTTTCTTATATGAATTAACCAATGTTGAGACACAGCATACCTATGAGTAAATTCATCACTCAAAGGAACCTTTGGGATCCTTTTTCTAGAACCCATGTAGAGCTCTCATTCTCAGAGCTTGGTGGGGGCAGAGGTAGGATTCTGGAAATATTCTGAAGTTGTAAAGATCAAGGACTGTTCCTGGGGTGGAGGTAGAAAGGGAAGAGACTGAGATGCCCAGGGAGGAACCCTGAGGCTCATGAAAGACCACAAGAGAAACTAAAACTTATAAGTATTGATAAAGTTAGAATCAGTGCCTTTGGAGGGTGAGTCCCTAAAGGTGGTTAGTGCCCCATAGGGAGGAGACAATGTTGACTGAGAAGAAGGGATTATACAAGGAACTGCAGGTGTTGCCCAAGCTAATCCACTCAAAGTACATCATATTCCCATCTACACTCAGTGAGCTTTGTGGCACAGTCATTGTTTTAAAATGGACAAAAATGAAAACCAATCACAACATGACCTATTTTGCTGACTTTTATTGATATCTAACACAAACTATAAAACAGAACTTTAATATGACATTACATAAACAAAAGGTACAAAATCATGGGAAGAGTCCCTGTCCTGATTTCCATTGAAATAACACAGCACAGTGAAACAGGCTCACCTCAGGACCACAGGCACTGCTTCAAATCTACAGAGCACACAGGTGGCCCTGCCCCAGGATCCCCAAAGCAGACAGGTTCACACCTGATACAGATTCATTACAGAGCTTCCTATTTCCATTAGACTTAAGGGCAATTATTGCAACTTAACTTACTTTTACATACAATGGATGAAAAATTCTAAAACTCTACTTCCCTTACCAGTTCAATAAGCACAAACTACGGTATATTATAAAAGTGCCACTTGAAATGTCACTACATCTAAGTAATTAAAGTCTAATAACTGAGCCTTTGTGCCCCAGCTTGATCAGAGTTCCCACCCTCTGTCCACACAGCATAGAAGGGAAGCTCTGATTCCCCAGAAACATTTTCTCCAAGTGATCTCCCCTCTCTAATTCCTCAGGCACCTCCAAGTGGCCTGGGGCTGAGGAACATGTCTTCCCTGACATGGAGTGTCTCATTGGCCATCACCTTCTTCGAGGAAGAGGACAGCTGAAGGGCCTCAAAAAGGACGCTCAAGGAGACACAGGGACAGAGTGCCTCTGACTTCTCAGTGGTGGAAGGGATCTGAGCAGCAGCCGTGAGCATCTCAGCAGGAGGGAGGGATGGAGGTGTCATGCACCTGGAGCTCCACTGGCCTTTTTCTAATGTCGTGAAGACCATTCTGAGGGGCTGGCCTGGAACCTTGGGAATTGGTGAGAACGGGGGCACATGGCAGGGCTGGAGAGTCTTGATGAGATGGCCCTTGTGCTGCGGCTGGAGGTCTGGTCTCTGGGTGCTCTTCAGGCTGGGGCTGAGTCTGGTTTTCTTTGTGGGCTTCTGGTAGGTCTGGCTGGAGGTCTGGGCAGCTCTCTTGCCAGGTACCTTGATGATGAGATCAGAGTCCTGGCCCACACTGTGTGCAGCAGCATGTTGGATGCTGTGTGAGTTCCCATCAGGGAACTTGGCCTGTGGCTGGTGGATGAGGGCTTGGTCCAGGTCCTGGGTGCTGAAGGCAGAATGGGGCCTGTTGTCCCCCTCATGGACACTGTGGCTGGGATCCTGGACAAAGTGTGTGCCTTCTGCGTGAGGGGAGTCTGTGACAGGCACTTCCTGTCCATTCTTTGGTACAGGAGGTAAGCAGGCACTTCTCTCAACACCTTTGATGGGAGTCGCTGAGCCTGTCATGACATGTTTCCTTTTCGGTGACCAAGGGGTGATATCTTGCACATATTTCCTCTTGGCGTTCTGATCGGGTCTCTGCATGTGTGGATCCTATAAGAGACACAACACTGATGTTACACATTAGAATTTTCTCACTATCAAGTAGAAAATAAAATTAAACCAACAACAATGACAAAAAGATCTTAAGACAAGATATGGACTGCATGGGATAAATCATCAATGAATGTAAAGAAGATGGATCCTTGAGCTGGGTCTGAAAAAAGATACACTGTCCCCTTGATATCTTTTGTCACATCAGAAGGGAGAGCACAAAGGTTCTCACAGCTGCCTCCTGTTCCTGTTAGTGAAGTAGAAACAAGCCTTTCCTAGCCTCTTCCAGGGAATGGACACTTCTTGGTGTTGTGAAGGCAGTTTGGGGACAAATGAGTTTGGGTGGGCAATTTGGGAGAAGGGATTCTGATTTCATGATGCCTCGTTTCCCGCAAGGGGTGGTGCCTTGTGGGAACATCTAATGAGACCACACCCATGCCCTCCATCAGCTTAGAGGGTTGGTCAAAAGTAGGGTTACAGTTCTAGGTTCATGAAACCAGAGTTCATTGCTGTATTGTGATTTATTACTTTACCATTTTCCAAAGGAATGCTGTAACCCCACTTTTGCCTCATCCTGTATTATTGAGACACGTGCACGTGTAGGCATTTGAAAAGACACCAAGAAAAGTGAATTAGTAAATAATACTATAGAAACCATGTGGGTTCCCCTAGCATTTTCACCATTCCCTCAGAAAGAAGACAAGGAGGGAATTAGGGTGACCCTGATGCAATAAAAAGCCCAGCACCTGGGGACACTCACGCTCACATAGTCACAGGGTTCTGTCTCTTCCTTCCAGTTTTGCTGGGGCCTTTGAGTGGGTCTCCAGGGACGTCTCCAGCAAGGAGCCTCTCTCTGTTCTTCATGCCTGCAGGACACAACATGATATGTGAGACACTCCATTTATTCTCTCCAATGAAGGTGGACCTTTCCGTGCCCACGCCCCTCACCACTTCTTGTGATCCAGGGAGCCAAGCCCAGTGCATTTGCCAGAGACTGGCCCTTGCCATCTCTCAGATTCCCCCCCCCCTCCCCAAGGAACCCACCTGGGTTTTTCATGAAGGACTTTCCTTCATTTCGTTTCCTCTCTGCCTGACACTTTTGTAGATTAAAGATGTTCCCAGCACCAACCCTACCACTATTCACACTCATTGATTGCCCAGGAATTGTATGAAACTGGGATTGTGACTGGTGAAGACATAAGGATTTTTTTTCTCTGTGTCTCTGTCTTTGAATGGAGATGGCAAGGCTTACAGCGTAGAGGTAAGGACACAGGCTTCATAGATTCCGCCCCAGTGTTTTCTCCAGCCTCCCACAGTGCTCACCATGCTCTCTGCTCAGTCTTCCTAGCAGCCCTGTTAAGGCGTCCTGGGTTCCGCTGGACCTGGGGATTCCATGGTTTCAGGTTCTCCTTCATCATATTGGAGCCCATGGCCTGGGGAACTGGGGACCTATTCCAATGCTTCAGTGGACACCTGCTTGCCTTGTGCCCAAAGGCCCTGCAGTTCCAGCATCTCACCTGTGGGGAGAGAAGGAGGTCAGTGAGTCAGCACAAAGCAGGAATACATTTGAAAGGAAACAGGGGGACAGATTTATGGAGGTGGAATATGTGTACAGAGACTGACATAAACACGGGGCTCACCTGCTGCCTGTTACTAAGATGTTGTGGTGCATGCCGAATTCCATATTAGTTGGGAAGGAACTTGGGGAAAGGCATACAGTTCTCAGCAGGTATACTTAGACCCACAGGCAAAGATTTGAGCACAAAACCTGCTCCACAGGACTCTCACCAGGAAGTGAATCTCAAGGGGAGTTTGTGACCATGATGCAGTAAGAAGCCAAGAACCTGGGGACACTCACCCTCAGGTAGTCACAGGATTCTGACTTGTCCTTGCAGTTTTGCTGGTGTCCTCCCAGGGCTCTCCCGGGTAATCTCTGGCGCAGAGCCCGTCTCTGTTCTTCATGCCTGCCAGACAGAGCATGGGACATAAGTCCCTCCATTTCCTGTCCCCAAGGAAATAAGCCTTCCCATGGCCCAGTCCCTTTCCCTGTGTCTGTGTGTCCCAGGGAGGGGGCTCTGTGCATTTACTAGACTTGCTCTTGATCATCTCAGATCCTAGCCCTTCCTGGGGGCACACAAGGATGTTTCACAAAGGACTTTCCTCCCCCTCCATTGTCTCTCTGCCTGTCCTTGGCAGAGATCCAACATGTCTAACCCCACCTCCACCACAATTCAACCTCAGTGATTCTCAGGGAGGGATGGAAACTCTGATTGTGACCCATGGAGGCCACGGGCAGCTTCCTCACTCTCTCCAGGTCCCTGTCTTAACCTGGAGGTGGCAATGCAAATAGTGAGAGGTAATGGGCGCAGGCTCCCTAGATTTCCCCCAAAGTTTGGCTGCACTGTCTCATGATACTCACCGAACTCTCTGCTGGGTCAACCTAGCAGCCTTGTTGACAAGCACTCGGTTCCTCAGGTCCCTGGGAGTCCATGGATTCTGGCTCTCCTTCATCACACTGGAGCCAAGGGCATGGGGGGCTAGGGCCCCACTCCGATGCTTCATGGGACACCCGAGGCTGCTTGCCTTGTGCCCAAAGGCCCCGCATTTCCAACAACTCACCTGGGGGACAGAAGGAGATGAGAGATTCAGCTCAAACACGGGCACATTTTAAAGGGGAAGAAGGGAGACAGATTGACAGAGGTCAAATATTGGTCACACCAGAAAGGGCTCCCCAGGTAGCTATCGTTCAAGGTATTAGGGTGGATCCCAAAGCTCAGGCTAGTTTGGAAGGAACATAGGAGAACGGATGCAAGGGAAAAGCATTCCTATACAGAACCAAATGAAAAGTTATGGACAAAAAACAGGCCACACAGAACACTATTAAGAAGTTTGTGCCTGCATATCCGAAGGGACCAGTCAGAGTGGTGAGAATGGCCTAGGTTAGGGGACCTGCATGGGAAAGGACACCGCATTTATGGACACAGAACTTGCTTTGTCCTAACCCTGTCTCTGTCACCCATGCCACCCACATTTCGAAGCCCCCTTAGAACCAGACTTCTACTCACCCTGGGATGCTCCTGCACAGGCGGGGAAGACTTGCATGCCACCCCGGCCCTCTGTGGCTGCTTTACTTTCTGGACCTTCAAGGGTCTGCAGGGCCCCCGTTCTGGGTGACGATCCGCCATTGGCCACACCACCTTAGACCTTCACGTCTTTCACGCTTGGCTATGGACTTGTGAACCTCCTGTGGAAAAAGAAAAGAGAAACTTTTCAAAATCACACACAGAGCAAGCCCCTCTGGCACTGTCTGCTTCAAATCCACTGGAGAGACCTCATGAGCTCAGGAATAACCTCTGCCTCCCCTGTGATCCCTCCTTCTGAGTCTTTTGTCTGTCCTCTCATAATTGCCTCTCTCTTCCCAGACCAGGGCCGGGGATCATGCCCCCAATCAGTACATGACCTTGACTGATATGGAACCCAGGACCTTCATTCAGTAACCTGGGCTCAGTGACCATAGAGCCATAGCTCTCCCCTGCAGGCCCTAGGACAGTGATGGCGAACCTATGACAAGCGTGTCAGAGGTGACAGGTGAACTTGTTGTGTTGGTTGATTTTTCTTTGTTGAATGGCATTTAAATATACAAAATAAATATCAAAAATATAAATCTTTTTTTTTTTTTTTACTATGGTTACAAATATTAAAAAATTTCTATATGTGACACGGCACCAAAGTTAAGGAGCTCAAAAGGTTCGCCATCACTGCCCTAGGACAAGCATCTCAGAAGCACCCACATCTTTTATTTCAGTCTCACTGGGAAGTAGTTACTCAGGAACATGAAAGCTGACTCCCGTCTTCTTTTGGGGAAGAGTTTCAGACCAACCAAAAGACACAAACTGAATATTTAAAATTTCCAGAAATAAAAACATGGTTAAGATGTTTTCATTTGTAAGTGGGGGTTGGTCAGGGAATCAGCTTGGTTAGACATTTAAAAATAAACCAAACCATGAATCCAAATGTTAGAAATTCAGCCAAAACTACACTTAGAGGCAAAATCAGCCCCTTTAATATGCTTGTCTGTAAAAAAAAAAAAAAGAAAAAAGAAACGAAAAAAAAGGGAAATCTCTCTGTCCACGTTAAGTTTCTTGCCACTGTGAGTTCAGCTGCCTTAGCTGAGGTCGGTAACTCACCTGCTGTGACTGGGTTGGCTGGGGCTCAGATCTCAGACCTGGTGGAGAACCACAGCACTGACTGCATAGCTGGAGGACTCTGAATCTCTCCTCTAGTGCCTGAGGTTTTTATACACCTTCTCAAATACTAACATCCAATCAGAACCCTCAGTCTCCATCCCTTTATCCTAAAGGGATTGTTGCCTCCCTGCAGATAAATGGATTGAGAGGAAGTTAGGTGCCGGAAGCCGGTCCATCCTTGCTGCTTGACACAGTCGCTGCAGGAAAGAAACATCTGCACAGCATATGTTTCAAGGGACCTGGCGTATATAGCATACTGTTCTTAATGTTTGTTCCCCTTAGCGCTATGTGTTTTAACCAAGGTCACCTCTCCGAGAAAGGTTGTTTCCCCAGGTAGGGATTTTTCCCTGAAGTTAGGGAGGAGATAAAACCCCTTAACTAAGTGCCAGGCGGGTAGTTAATCACTTTAACTATGAACAATCACGCTTAAGCTACATAATCTTTACTCCCTGGAATGGAGATAAGAAACGCCCTAACCTTTGGAATAGAAATTGACAGGATTAAAATCAACTGGTATAAACACAGATGTAACAAGACAATAAACACCAGAACTTGGCTGGAGATCCTGGCTAGGCTGCTGATCAACTGAACGCTGTCTCCGTGTCATTCCTTCATCACCGCCTCCGTCCACACCTTGGGGAACCCCTGG